AGTACCTATCGCTAGCCTAGTGAAGTTCCCCAATGTCTCAACCGCACCCGCATCCATTGTATACAAAAGTGCATATTAGTGTAGAAGTAGTGAAGTAGATTAAGAAGATTTCATAGTGATGAGGATTAAGGAGATCTTTGTAGATCTTCAGTTAATTCATTGTGCATTTTGCCCTCAACTACACACGCTTCCTCCCGCAGTGCTACATCATCTTTAGGGGCATGGAGCAGGGCTTGAAACACCGCTTCAACCATCGCTCGCCGCTTGTTTTGTTCGGCTTCTGCATCTTGAGCAGATGGTGACACCGTGCCTCTGTCATCACCGCGCTCGTCGCTTAATGTGGCCACTTGTATATTGGGGGTGACACAGTGCATGCTTTCGTTACCGCACTCGGAGTTTAAGGCGGTCACTTGAGTCAGGCGGCTGATACTTGCCATCGCAGACGGCTTGTACACGTCGCTGACATCCCAGACTTCTTGCTTGGTAAAGGCGTGGCTAAGCAACTCATCTTCAGAGAAGCCCAGCCGTTCCATTACAGCCCGGCTGATCCGGAGCTCTGCCGCATTGGAGGAAGAGTCCACCCATCCCTTGACTCCACGCAGGGCCACAGGTACACAGGGGTGTCCACGGTACCAATTTGTCGGTCAACCTTCTGGATAGGTGCTTGGCCATACGGCTGGATCATGGATGGCTCTGGTGAAATCACCTTCACTTGGGCCCGAGGCATTACTCTCACCGCACTCCGACTTCCTCACGGCAACCGCTACACCTTACACCCTACGGCCTTACGACAACTCGGTAAAATACTGGAAAACTCTTGTCAGCTAGGCCCTCACCATCGCCATGCGTAGACCACAAGTTGACCAAGACATGACTCAAACTTTCCTTCTGGCCGCCAAAACAGCTTGCACCTACACCTGGGACCGACATGGCCACTGTCACATGCCACCCACACTGGCTACAGTCGCCCTACATCTTCAGACGGCCATCAGCAGTACCACGACCAACGCATGGCGCCAAATGCTGTGGCATAACCAGGTTCCGAACAACGACTGGGTGACCGATCATCAGGCTCGCCCCATACAGTCCGCCCCTTTCGACACCTTTGCCGACGCATTCCTCTCCTCCACAACCTCCTCACACACGTTGGCACTTCCAGGCTTTCCGCCTTCACAACCGCTATGCCCCTTCTGTAACGCCACAGACGGCCCCACCACACGTTCTGGTGGTGCTCCAGGGCGCAACAACTATGGACTACCGTCCTGTCTATATGGTACGAGGATGCGGCCGCCTTACCCTCCGACTACACTGCGACCCTTATGACGCACGAACAAGCACGCCCTCCTCAGTGGATGCTTAAGGCTTCTCGATGCTTAAGGCTTCTCGATGGGTCACCCATGGTACAGCCTACCATAACGTTTGTCATCAGGGATGGCTCTTGCTCCGGTCGCTCGCTCTGCGAATTCTTTAGACGGAACGCTACTCATCCCACCACCAACACACACGGCCCACCTCCCCACCGGCGCACCTCCCCAGTGTAGCCACTTCCAAGCCCTAGCCACGTATCACACGCACCGCCGACATCTACGTCGGGCGGATGTTGAAATTTATCTGACACGGCAATACTGGAAGGCACAGACCGTTCCCCCCCCGCCCCCATCCGCTCACAGACGTAGAACGATCCTCTTCGACGACACCGCCTGAACAGACACGGCATGCGGCGGATCAGGGACGATCGCCATGCTACTGCATGCGCCAATCCTGAGCGAATGCGTCCCACACTTCATCCCTCTGCTACGACCAACAACATTGTCGAAGACGACGGCCTGGTCACTGCAGTATCACTCGCTGTCTCAATACGTCTCGTACACATCGACGTGTGCGAGGATATTCAGCTCATCTCGAATCAAACAGCGTACGCCACCCCGGGGAGGCGAACGGGGTAGTGGCTTGACGGCCCAAGGGACGGTCGCATTCGGCCTCTCGGAATTGCGATCGCTCCATCCGGTTAGCAGGGACTGCAAGCGTTGGTTGTCAGAGCACTAATTGCTCTCGGGCGATCAGGCTAAAAAATTCTTTATTTTCGCTGGCGTCGTTATCCGGACGGAAACCTTTTGATCAAATTGAACTGAGGTATTATTGTGCTTTTCATGTAGTTTGCCCGTTGTTTAAATGCGTTAAACAACCAGACGTTTAAAATAATATAAGCCCAATTGAAGATAAAACTACGCTAAACACAAGTTCTGCATTTCAGCAGAATAAAACAACCCTTACTTTATTTCAGCTGCTAACTAATCGAGTTGCAGCACCAGGCCAACTAACGCCGTACAACTACCAGTTCATCACGATGCATACCGTATTAGGCTGTTAAATGGGAGTACTATACATCATGTAGTCGTACAGTACTGCGCCCTTGCCTTCCACGTACAGTGCTAAGGTTAGAGCAGATCAAGAATTGTAGGTATGGCATAGCTTTGAATCATTGGACAGAGCGACGACTACATGTACTGTAGCCTAAGTATATCCCTAACGTTATACACATTACTCGGAGTAGATAATGTTAGTACTGTAGTGATCACGGATGGGGGGTCATGTGTGTGGCCATAACTCCTTCAGTTTCATTGCGTCAAGCACCTTGACATGTTGACGTAAAGCAAGTTGTTTGCCAGAATGAAAACGGCAAACAACTTGTTTTACGAAAGTGCCAGTAAAACAACCTTCAACCAACCAATCATCGCATTAGATGAAGTAACTTTAAACAACGCTCCCAACCGTTATTCAAGTTACTTTAGACATTATTTAAGCCTGAGAAATTTTTAAACAATGAATTTAACCCTGGAATTGCCAAAAAAGGTGCAAAGCACAATAACTGTAAATACTATTATACTCACCGAGTATACGATACTACTTCGTACGATTTAATAATGACTTGTTAATGGAATTCGCAAGGTGCACCTTGCTCCTTTTTAATATCCAATCCGAATCTATCACACCTTGTTCCTTACACACGATTGGCTATAATACTGGCAGAAGAGGTTACAATTTTGAACTTTGAATTTTGTAGAGCTTTGTGTAATGCTGCTCGAGAGAATTGTGCACTGAGTCCACTCCGACTATATCCAATGTGGTTCTTCCCTTACAGCTAACATTATGTTGTGGCCTCGGTTGGGTCGCAATGCCGTGACGGCTCTGGTGGGCTAATGCGGTGGCGCAAGACGTCTGGTACAGTAGGAACCCATCGCAAGTGCTGAAGTGGCGGCTTCAGCACTTGCGATGGGTGCCACCAAGACGTCTTACGCCACCCACCCCCGCAACCACGTGACTACTCCAGTAGGGAGGTGTACGGCACCGACACGGACTGATGGTGGAATGAGGGATGACCACATTCATTGGTTTAACAGGCAAGTGGTGATGTTACTGAAGTCTAGACCTGTTCGAATTGACCGAGTCCGGGATACCACATCGCATGATCTTGCTATCATACACAGCCTACAATTATCTCAATGCTCCTTGCATCAACCGCCGTCACAGGAATATAATATATCGCAACAGGGTGTGATGAATCTACGCAGCGATTTTCGTGATTTCACGGCATCTGACTAAATAAATTGGACAATTTTGAATTCGCAAGGTCGCAAGGTACCTACCTGCCTTGCGAATTCCAAAAAGAGACAGTACAGACCCAGGAAAAATAAAATTCATCAATACAAACTTGAAGATATATTTAATTGAATCTGTACAATTTCAGAATTATTTATGGAATGCGCAAGGTGAACCAACTTGCGCATTGTATGTCCAACGAACCACCGGATATTAATGGGAGTATACTGCTAGAGGCAACCCTAACGTGATGGATGTCTGATTTGCCGATTTTGAGCTCCATTCAATCGACCATATCTCGTGAAGTTCGAATTATCTCGACGTGAAAGTTGCAGTGTCGCTCCAGTTTCTAATCGATTTGACAATATGTCGTTGTAGTTTGAAGGCGAGTGGGCGATTCATGAGGACAGAATTCATACAAGCTGGTTCAACTAACGTTAGATTTACGTGGATGTCCACCATTTTAAAATATATGGGATTCACAATCAAGCCAGTCGCCAACCTACATACCGGTAGCCTACAGAACAATGACGACTCGAAAACAGTCGATGTGACGTAGATATGATACTTTTATTACATCGAGCTGATTCAATCGACGACGTCAATCCACTTGACAATCGTTCATCTATCGTCCTCACGTTCCAGAAATGCATTCCTTTCAATTATTGAATACTAGTAGTACAACCGGTACAGTACAGAACTACAAACATCGTCGCGACAAAGCCTAGTTGGCGCACCACTTGGTGCCGTGCATGGCGCTGTAGTACTCGCAGTCGGCCTTGTTAAAGTCCGACAAGCACGAGTTGTCGCCGGGGTAGTAGCACGCGTTGCAGTTGCCGCAGCCGGGCTTGGGCTGGTAGGGGGACGCGCCGAGTTTGGGAAAGAACACGTATTCCGCGACGTTGCACGTGCCCCTGCCGCCGGCGTTGGCGCGCAGGTAGATGTACCCACCATCCCCCCATCGCGTGCCCCACGAGTTCTTGATCTTGTACGACTGGCCGTCATATCCGACGGCGATGGCGGCGTGGTCCGAGCGCGCGGCCGGACAAGCCGAGACCACCCCGCGCACATAGTTCTTCCACACGTTGTTGGCCGACGCCACGGCCACGACCACCGGCTGGTTGTAGAGTGCGTTCGAGAGTCCGCTTTCACCCGACGTGCGGGCGCTAGTGCCGATGGCCAAGCGCTGCTTGGAGCATTGGTTGTTGCACGTGCCAGTCTGGCCTCGGTACGGCCACGCGCTGTCCAGACACAGTCCTTCGGCCGCGTAGTCGATGGCGTACGAAGGAAACCCGGTGTTGCAGCCGGCGCTGCCCCCCTTGGTCGAGCAGCTCGTGACTTGCTGGACAGACAAACTCAAGAGGTTCCCCGTGGCGATGCAGTGGGCCGCCTCCGCAACCCCC